TACGCAGACAGCCAGAGCCCGTTCACGAGAAAACCCACAGCTCGGTGCAGTCGTGCAGCACTGATGTTCACTCTCAGAACCAAAGACGCGCGCTGTAAGTCGCGTTGTTCGAGACTGCTGCCACCAATGGTTGTGCGGAGCGCAAGTTCGTCTGCTTCCTTTGCAGAGGTTGTGATGACGTCAGGAAGACGCCGAGCTCTGATTGCTTCTGAAGGAAGGATAGTGGAATTCCTCTCACTCGCGAATCAACGCTTATTTCACTCTTCATAGTATGTCAAAAACCTGAAAGTCGCAGATAATGCAGCGCGCAGAATGGTCTCTCGTGACAGTTAACTCAGACAAATGAAAAGACTTCTAAATAGGCAATAAATTTCCAGCGAAAGCACTCACAGAAGGGCTAAAGTATACCTTGTAGTCGTACAGAACATGTTGTAATGCTTGTTCTACCAACTCTGTCTTGGACACTCTTGTTACCTGTACGGATAGAAAGTCTACTTTTTCGCCACCAAGTAGACCCTCCAAATGATATTGTTTCTTTCGGGAGTTAAATCCTCTGGCATATTGAGGATCACAAAACGAGCGCTGTCAGATAAGGGTAAAGGAAGAAGAGGCGGTGGATGAGGATTAAACAAGTAGAGGAAGGAGGAGGGTCAAGTGGAGGGGTAGGGTACGGATTGGCCATGTCCTAGTGGCTAGAATACAAGGTTGGGTTTTCGCCTATTGGCGCTGGTGTTAGGCAGATATTTTTTTTTTCACTTTGTGCCACTATTGTGCTTGCACCTGCTAGGAATCATCTCCATTGATAAAGGGTCACCTTTGAGGTCGAACGTTGTATTCGTCTCTGCAGACTCCGTTGACCTTCTAGATACCTTCGTTTCTGCTGTTAACAAGATGTTATCCTCACTATATTTTTGTGGGCCTTAGTTGCAGGCTGCATCAATCGTAATATCATTTCGTAGTTTTTTTTATGAAAATCATATTTTGTCTAATTTTAAGGAAATGGACATCGTTTCCTTCTTTAGCCCTTGGTTCTAGCAGAACGAGCCCATCTTTCTTCTATATACCGAGCCTAACACTCTTGCGAGGCTTTGTGAAGATCAATTGTTTCATGATGGGCAGCGTTAAAATGATCAAAACACTTCCAGTAAGCGTCTCTTTTATCGCAGGATGGATGCATAAATGAATACTCTTGGCGGTACTTTTCGTATCGGGTGGTAACTGGCACCACCTAGTCTAGAATCGGTTCTCTTGCTTTTCTAGGCCTTCTTTAACAATCTGCTAGCCTACTTTCTTGTTATTATATTATTTTGTTTTTACGTTCATCCATCTTTTCTAGCGAAATCCAACGCTTCCACCGAGTTCGTTACCGAAGTAAGGATGGCAAAACGAAGACCGGTGCACTTTTAAACCGCGTGTTTTAGTGTGTCGCTTTCACAATTGCGAATTACATATATGTGCCTACCTCATTATATTTAGCCCTCAATGTGTTTGACCTTAACACGCACGTTCTCGTTTCAAACAGTAAAGAGCTTTCCCGTGAATTATCAAACACTTGTTTATTTTCTTCTGCCCTGCTTTTTTGTGTGTCTTGTGCATTGCTAAAGCTGACTTTCCTTGCATTCTTTCCTCCAATATTTTCATTTTTCCTTCTATTACTCTCTATTCTACTGAACTAGTCTGCTCAGCCCAATTACTATTTGTAGTTTAATAAATGTCAGCTTTCGAGTTCGGTTCGTTACTGTTTCGTTTAAAGGCTTCATTTATAATTGCCTGTATTATTTTCATGACTACCGCGCATCCTCCGTTTATTTTTACCTTTGTTCAAATGTGTTTCATAATTTACCCTGTGCTATTTGCAAACGTCCAGCCCAATTCCCTATGTACCCCTCATTTGGTGTGTTCCCATAGACTCCCAGCTACAATATGCCCAGGATTCTTTATCAAATATCCAATCCTGTTTGAACCTCCAACCAGGTGTACAGTACATTACTGCGAAAAAGTCCACTGGGCAGCACTAGTTTTTTATACTCACTGAAGAGTTCATGCCTCACATAATTCTACTGCGTTTTGGTTCATAGATAGCTGAACTTTCTTTCCTTTTTTTTAATCTATTTATTTTCATGATTCTTACATATTTTCTTCACTCACTGAGCCCTACCCTCAGATTTTTGCACCTTTCTACATTGTCTTGTATTTTCAGGGGTTCTCTTTTTTCGTCGTTAAACATCATTACTCCAGACTTGTCACTACTAAACCTCTGGCCCAAGATGTCCCCTTCCTGTCCGCATATGTCACTTAGTTTCTGCAGTGTATTTCTTACATACTTCATGAGTACCATGTACTATGACCCCCTTTAAACGTTTGGCTTTTTGTTGTGTTTCCCTGCACAATTGCGGACATAAGCGCAAGCTCCTTGCTTTCGATAGCACCCGGGCTGCACGAGCCATCTAATCAACAGCTGGAGCAAAAGTCGGAGCCACACGCTTGTACCACTTGCACGTTCCGCGGTGTCGAATGGCGAACAAAACGTTAGCACTTTTAGTGGCTGCCCCCTGCACGACCTTCTCCGTTGATGAAGGAGTAAAAAGAAGAGGCTGTTTTAAACGGTCGTGCTTTTATGTTCACTATAAAAAAAAAAACCTCTGCCTCAGGATTTGAAAACACTTTTACCGCTGGCTCTTATACTGGTGAGGAAAGTTAAAATGTATTTGGAGAACACTGCAGATGCACCCATGGTCGCAAGAAACGTCTCAAGTTTGACAGTCAGTAGAGAAAAGTATAAGACTATACTCATGCGTTTTGCACCTGGAGCCTTGTGCCTCAACTTCGTTCACGCTTAACTCACGGGTCTGCCTTACCATGCAGTTCCCTTTCGCGATGCATTCTGAGGTGGCGTCGATATGAACGAAGTGGTGTCCTAAGGACAGTTTCAGGTGAGTCATATGTGGATGGTGACGTCGGCTAGCTCCGAAGCGACAGAAAAGTTGAAACCGCGAACGAATGGGGAACACAAAGGCACTGAATAGGGACGTCTGCCTAAAATTGCGACGGTGACGTCGGCATAACAAGGTGACGTCCGAAGACATTTTTCAGCTACCCAGGGTTTACGGCATACAGTCCCTTCTGGTGATGACAGGACGACTGCCCTTTTGTTTACGATGCAAGTGGGCTGCTGATATTTGACAACGGTGAATTATTCGAAAATGCGCGCGTTGTAATTGGCTTGGGCATGATAGTGAAGAGTGCTTGTCAAGTTATACACTTTCACTACAAGGCTCTGGAGACGACCGCGACACAATCCGAAACTTTTGATGAACATATTAGAAGTCGGGGATGCTAGCGGCGATGTTCTCTCATACCAAGTAGAACCCGATAGACGCTGCGTCAGAGTTCCGGCGAAAGCAAAGCACCAGCTGAAAAAAAAATGCTTATCTATCTCAAGCCACAGAAATGACAGAAGCCGTGAAAGCAGCTTACAAGAAATGATTGATCAAGAACAGCTTGCCAACAGCAGATGGGAAGGTATCTAATTGGTCAACGGAGTCTACAGACAGGCATACGACGCTCGACCACGAAGGTGACCCTTTATCAATGGAAATGATCCCTAGCACATGAAAGGACAATAGCGACACCAACAGAAAAGGAAAAGACCTGCCTAATACCAGCACGAGTAGGTGCATACCAACCTTGTACGCTCGCCACTAGTTCATGGCCAACACCTACCATACCCCTCAGCTTGACCCGTATCCTCCCTCTCTTTTTCTTAATCCTCATCCTGCGCCTCCTCTCACCTTAGCCTTATCTGACGGCCCCCTTTTTATGAAGGCGCTTTTCTTTGTCGTACGTGTGTCTTTTTCCGTCCTGTTTCAGTTTGCACCAGTGACCGTTTATTTAAGCTTTACCTTTTCAGCCTTCCAGAAAAAACAATATATCGAGGAGAATAAATAGCTATATTGCCAGGTGCAGTGCCTCAGCACATGCGGTACCTTAATAGCGATTAGAATGTGTGTATGTTTATACAGCCGGAAGTTAATAAGCCGCAGTGGGCATCTGGTGTCTCAGCTGTAAATGAGCAATTTAGCCTGTGCAGTACACACCGCTAGCCTAGGGTCTTTAACGTGTATCACGCAGTAGTGATACTCGACCGCACGCCGGTACAATGCTCATCCAGATCAAAACAGGCAGGGCTGGGGATTGAACCATTGAACCCTGGGTCCTGCAGCGCGAGCTTTCCCTCCACATGCTCCGAGCTAGTGTGCGCTAGCCCACTCGGCCACCGATCCCCCAACACTTGCCTTGTCGATTGGCCAATTATCTGAAGAAAAGATAATCGGTCAGCGAGCTCTGCGAGAAAGTGAAATTTCGTGCCTTCTTTGCCAAAGGTGAAGCCAAGTTCGGACGGCAACCCCATTAGGAAGGAAAACATTGGGACGTTTTTCACAAACAACTTGAATGTCATTGTCCTGTTCTGAATTAGGCTCGTTTTCGTGTGAGGTAAAACCTGGTTTTGGCGTCCTGACATATGTATGTCATTCCATGCAGTGTGAGCCAAACAATTCTTCTCCCATGCCCCTGAGAAGATTGATGCCCCAATTGCAGGGTGATCGGTGAAAGCAGAGGAGGCGCACAAATACAATAAAAATATAACAATTCTTATGTTTGACAGTTGAATTTTTTTTTATCTTGACTTAGGTATATTTCTTGAGGGCCCAGAAGGCAACATTTTTTTTTTTAATGAATACTGCCCAGAACATAATCATCTAACTTCGGGAATACCGCTAGTATTTTAACCACTCTATCAAGGGTGCCCAATTAAACGCGACAAGAGCTGCGGTTTCAACGCGGGAGATGAAAGGTTTCCCGAGCATAATTTAAAGTGTGCGTAAAATGTGAATTACTACTCCGAGACCACATGAGAAGGTGTGAGTTCATGGTCAAACAGAAGCATTCAAAGCGTTTTCCCTATAAATGCCTCATACACGTTAAAGCTATTCTCTTACCCAAGACGCCATTAGAGAGTTGTCCATTTTCATAATCTGCAAAGTCCAACCTATAAAAAAAAAAAAAAGAAACGGTCGAGCATTGTATGTTTTTAAACGCACATTGAGCTCCCACTTTTCGTGTTAGAGCACAGGGATGGTTAATTGCTGCATCTCTTTTCGTCTCGGAGTGCATTTAAACCCTTCGCAACTTCACACTTCGGCCGCCAGAATAGTGCCACTTGCACTGAACACATGTGGTGAGTCTAGATTTAAGAGAAGGAGCATATCAAACCATAGAGAGCGTTTGCACTTTAATGGCGGACGCCTCCTGTTCAAATTAGTCGCAAGGGCGCATGCGGCGCATTGTGGCTTTGCAAAGAGGGAAGTCGATCGAGGCGGAGACGCTTTCAGACGATCGACGCTCCCGCCATCTCCTTGCAGCTCTCATTGCAAACACGGCCCATGGTCCACTTGACCCCGATCAAGCAGTTCGAAAAACTTGACAATCTAGACACACTGCACTAATGGATAAGCCCTAAGTTCGAGCTTTTTAAAGCGACAGCTTTACCTGTGTCGGCGTTTGTAGTCTGTCGTCGCAGCGGTGATGAAAATACTTTTCATCTCTCCCCTTAAAACTCGAAAACGCAAAAAGAAAAAGGCAAGAGAGGAGATTTCCGGCAGCCCGCCGATGACGGTGAGACGACGAGAAAGCGTCGCCTATTAACGATCATTTCAAAACAGGTGTTTTCAAACAAACTCGCATTATACAAAATCCCGCTTTGGCAGTATACGGTTTCTACGCCTAATGTTGCAGGGTTTTTTAAACTTCCACAGCGATAGATTTCTCTATGACATCTCTACGTTTTAAACGGCGCTTGAAATACAAGATATGTTGTGCTAGAACTAGTCGTTTTCCATCGTTCATTTCGCAAAGCTTCGCCTCGTTTCTACGTTTGCGCCCATCTCTCCGCACATCGCTGAACATCAACGTCACCCCCTGCTTTTACCGCTCAACAACATTGGGAGTACCTGCGCCTTTGCTTGTGTCGGCGTGGGAATTCCCGTCAATCTGCGAAGAAGTGAGATCGATAACTGCAGCACAACGATAACAATCCCTGCAGAAGGGGTACAAGGGGGACAAAGTACAGAGACGAGTCTCCAAACACAGCTAGGTGACTGCAGCGAGACTGAAAAAATCCGCCTGGTTCTGGAATCAAACCAGAGACCTCTTCATTTCCAGTGGAGTATTCTATCAACTGAGCTAACCAGGAGTTAGACGTCAGTGAAGCAAGCGGGTTAACTCACTCGGTAGAGCGCTCTACTGGAAATGGAGAGCTCCCTGTTTCGATATTAGGACAAGGTGGATTTTATTCAGTCGCGCACCAGTCACCTGGGTGTGTTTGGAGATTTATTTGTCCCTTGCAACCCTTCTTCATATTCTCCAGGAATTATTATCGATAATCTCTGCCATCTCTTTGTACATTGGCATTGATTGCACTTTCATAAATTGTAGCACGTTCGCAAAATGCAGACAAAATGGTGTAGTCACGTACCCTCCTCAAGTGCGTCCGGTCAACATTTCGCCCGCATATCACGAACGTGCACACATCCACCGCTTTCATCTCTTCGAACATTGTGAGAAAAAACTAAAAGGACACTTGCACTTCGCCTTTAAGGGTGGAACACTACAAGCGTGCCTTGTGTGGCTTAGTCAGTAGTGTGTCCGGCTCGCAACCGAAGGGTGGTGGATTTGAATCTCACCTAAAATTAGTAAAAAAAATGTTTAAAGAAATTTAATTTTTTTATAATGTAGAATCACTTGACACATGCGGCAACCTTTAATTCGCATCATATGTCATTTTTCAATCACTTTCATTGCATCGTGACGTCAAGTTTCATGTGAGCGTTGTGAGTTGTTTGAAATTCCCTTGCGAAGTCATTTGGCTGTGACGTCATGACCCTATCGACCCATCAGGATTTTCGCGTCACGCCACCGACGCCGGCTTTTCTGCGACAGGAGCTCCTTACCGCTATCGCGTTAAAAACAGACCTTTTTCCTTCACGTCTTTCCCGCTGGGCGGCGTCACCTCCTCTGGAGTTGCAGACTGCCACTGCCAGCTGGAGAAACGCATGGCGTGGCCAGTATGGAGCATTTTATCATCACTGTGTAGCCAATGAGATTTCCGCATCATCCTATGCGGTGGGAAAGTGAGATACAGGAGTAGACGAGAACGCGTGGGGGGACGCCAGAAGGCCGCGCTCTGATTGGAACGATTACTGGGTAGACGTAAAGCTGCCTTTGTCCACACTGCACTCGCCGATCGCGTTAGAACACGGAACGCCGGCGTCCAGCGTTTGGCTTTTTGCATTCTCACGCGTTCGACAAGTGCAGGGGAGACAAAGGCAGCTACCCTTACAAAAATGAACAATGAATTTCAATTGAGCTTCTAATGTGTTTTTATAGGGTCAAATGAAACTCATAAGAAACTCATCATTAAATGAGTTTTATCATTACCCACTCCATATCTATTCTTTTGAATTTACTCATTACAAATTCAAGTGAGGTTTATCGTTACCCAATCAATATCAATTCTTTCGAGTTTACTCATTACAAATTCAAGTGAGGTTTATCGTTACCCAATCAATAGCAATTCTTTTGAGTTTACTCATTACACATTGAAATGAGTGTTATAAAAAAAAAATCAATAAATCTACTCCCTACTGCATTGCACCCGAAACAAATAGCGCGTCGGTGCTAGTTCTGATATACAGATTTATTTCCTGTGCTTAAAATAATAACTGTATTCACTCTCTTTTACTCCTAAAGGCTTATTCACACGATGTATCTCTTCAACGCGCCACAGTTTAGCGAAACCAAGATTTCGCGAAATCAGCCTGTTCACACGTGGAGTTTGACGCGCGAAACCTGTGACGTATTGACTCACGAGAATTCCGCCAAACCTTGTCATCTGCACCGGGAATACCGAGCGTTTCGCATCAAAATGATATGAAGTACGCACAGTGTGAAGGAACAGCCTGTTTTATTAATGCCACTCAATGAATTTCGTCAGATTCGGCTCACTGGGTTTACTAGTCCTGCCAAACCCGGGAAAAACCGCGAGATGATCTCGAAGCATTTTAGACATTTTTACACCGCTAATAAAAAACGTTATCCCCAGTCATCATGTTTATACACGGTGCTTGCACCCGCCGCGACTGTTGACGAATCTGCACCGCGCCCCTAATCCGTACTGTAGGCGCCGTTCACACACCTGCAACCGAGTAGGACCAAGACTCGTCGCCCGTACGCACCGCTTCTTCGCTTGTCGCATAGGGGGGCTTGTCGCTCGCCATGTTTGTTTGTTTTCTTTCGGCAAAGCTCGGATACGGGATCGGCCAAAAATCAGACTCCTCCAAAAGCTCGCTCCTCCTCGAAGGTCAGACGTCATAGCGAAGTCGAGCGGCCATTGGCAGCGTCCGCGTTTCTCCTTCGGGTGATTGACGGGCGTCGGTGAGGTTTCAGAGAAAAATTGCTGCAGAAGTGAGAAACACGCGCCACTTTTTTCGGAGGCGCGCCACTTTTTCGGTCGAGTTCATCTGTTTCCCGAAACCTAGTTTTGCGCCACAAGATTCGCCAACACGATGCATCATGTGAACAGACCTATTTACAGCGCCCCTCTACCGCGATTTGGTCAGTTTCGGTTTCAGTATTGTAACTTTGACTGGTTTCGGTTTGATATTTTAAGGACCGCGTCTTCGACGCCCCATCGGTAGCGACACCAGTTATTTTTTTTTTTTTTCTTTTTCCGCCATGGCAGCCATGGTTTCGCCAGTTTTGCGACCGTTGGGTGTGTCGCGGGATGGAAATGGCCTTTAGACATGGAAATGTGCTAATTTAATCAAGTTTATCTATCTGTGAAGTTTCTCTTGTGATGATTATGTTCAAGAAGAGCGCGGAAAACCGACGACGCGACAGAACGAGCAACTCAACGCAGTTGGTAAGCATACTTCTTTGTTTGCATTGTACGCGTTGAACGAGAAGTGAACATTATGGAGTTTTAGAGTAATCTCGTGGCTGCTGTGCATGCGGAGACCCAAAACAAGCTTCGGACTCGAGCTTTGGGGCCCGTTATTTCTCGATAATGGCGTGGGTACCGCAAAAGGCGGCGCCCACGACATCTCCGTTGATCGCGTCTTCGACGCCGTCGCCCGCTCGGGAACTGCGTGAGTCGCACTCGGCGCCCGCGGTCGGTATGGTCGAAGCGTTTTCCAAACGCCACGGATCGCTGGATTCACAGCTCAGAGCTATCGAGGCGCAAAGCTATCGAGGCGCAAAGCTATCGAGGCGCGTGTACTTACGATCGTGGCAGACATCTAAGCATGCCTGGGTAGTGGGTCGTCTGGGCTTCGTAAGTACAACCAGAGTCGTTCAATGCTCTGGTACAACAGAGCAGCTTGGCAGTGACAGAAACAAAACATGCGGCATTGAGTATAAAACAACTATAAAAATGTTACTCTGGACAAAAGCTTGTTTAATTTTCTAAATTCCAAATAAAAGCTGTCGCGACATCTTGGTGGCGTTTTAAGCGCGAGATGCTTGCGTTTTGGGGGGTCCCCGGCAGAGAAACGCTATTCTAAAACTCTTCGCCGCAATCCTCGCTATTTTACCGTCCGTAACGCGCGGTAAAGTAGCGCCCGATATTCTAAAACTCCCTATTTTCTCGGCACACGTTTTCTCGTTAAGCTAGAATTTTTTTTTTCTTTTTTTAACTAGTTGGGTTTGCTTTATTTGTCCTAATGTTTGGTTCTATGTGTAGCGTAATGAAAAGTTGCCACTCATTCTGTGTATGGTCCAAGAAATTGTAGCTTATGTCAACAGAGCATGTATTGAATTCCTAATGCTACTTTCACTCCGTTGCTTTAGAAAATGTCTTATTGGTTTAGCAGTGTACTGATGTCATTCAACTATAAATTGATTACATTCATAATACTTCATTACATTTCAGAAGTTAGACTTCCTTGGAATTCGCTTCATGCAGAGCCAATATTCCTTTTCAGTCAAAATGGT